AAAATAACTCCCTCCCCCCTCCCCTCCTCCTCTCCCCTCGATTCCCCAGGAGAGGTCAGAGGTCAGAGGTCAGCGTGACATAAACCCGGGGAGCTAAATTTCCCCACGAGAGGTCGCAGCGCGGTTACGGTAATCATCGCATTCGCCATGGCAAATTATTCGCCACCTGAATTATTCATGCCGTAAATTCTGGAGGGGAGAGGGGGAGAGGGGGAGAGGGAAGGAAGGGGAAGAGGGGGAGAGGGAAAGAGGGAGGGAGGGGGAGAGGGGGAGAGGGAGGGAAGGGGAGAGGGGGAGAGGGAGGGAAGGGGAGAGGGGGAGAGGGAGGGAGGGAGGGAGGGAGGGAGGGAGGGAGGGAGGGAGGGAGGGAGAGGGAGGGAAGGGGAGAGGGAAAGAGGGAGGGAAAGAGGAAGGGAGGGGGAGAGGGAAAGAGGGAGGGAGGGAAGGGGAGAGGGAAAGAGGGAGGGAGGGAGGGAGAGAGGGAGAGAGAGAGGGAGAGGAAGGGAGAGAGAGAGAGAGAGAGAGAGAGAGAGAGAGAGAGAGAGAGAGAGAGAGAGAGAGAGAGAGAGAGAGACAGGGACAGACAGAGAAAGTCTTCCTCATATGCATATTCCCTACTTCCTTACAGGAATGCGTGAAATGTTACTTTCATCTCCGAATGTATATTCATAACTTTTTTCCTAATCTTACTTTATAATATGTGACCCATTACCATTAACATTCCATTACCTATACATTTTAATCAACTTTATTTACTTACAACGACGTACAACATACAATCTCAAAAAAAGTGATAAGTGGCATTATACCACGGAAAAAAAACAACCTAAAACAAATGAGCATCGATACAGAGCCTGAAAGGAGATCAAATGTCCTTTCACAATGGCAGCAGGATGCAGTACTCCATTCATAAACCCACTGTTTGATTTGAGACCGGATGGCGCTATCGGACATTGATAGTCTATTTCTCATTACAAAACTAATTGCACTGTTATTTTCCTACGGTTCACTGAGAGAGAGTGGGTGATAGATGAATGGATGGAGATAGAAAAGATAGGTAATAAATAATATGTGTGTGTATGTATATGTATGTATATATGCATGTATATGTATGTATATATATGTATATATATGAATGATGAAAACACTCTACCGTGTTGATGCTATGGTAGAAAAACCCACAATGTAAAAACTAGATTTATTTATAGTTTTTTACATTGTGGTTTTTCTACCATGCATATATATATACATACATACATACATACATATATATATATATATATATATATATATATATATATATATATATATATATATATATATATATATGTATGTATAAGTATGTGTATGTATGTGTATGTATATGTATATATGTGTATATATAT